TATTTTTCGAATAGTCCCGCCGCATTTCCAGGCTGCTCGCCTTGCGGGCTGGGAGGAGCCCAGTCCCAGAGGGGTTAAATCTAGAAGTGCCGATTAGGAAAAAAATGGGCCAATGTGAAGGAAAACAACAAACACAGGGGAGATGTCCCTATATGCTGTCTGGGAAATCGTAGACACACAGGTAGTTTTATCTGACGCGATGATTCCATTGTTAATCTGTCTCTGACTCTTTTCTATGATAGAGATGGACTCGTTGTGTCATATTAAGAAAAATAAAAAAAACAAACAACAACAATCAAATTCCGATCAGTTGAGCCCCCGCCCGTTGGACTCTCGGGACACTCACCCCACACCCCACAGGGGAACAGAGGCCCACAGCCCATGCTAACCATGCTCACACACGCATGCCCAGCCATGAAGATGCCATGGTCAAGCAGCCAAGCCCAGGAGCTCGTCAGCTTGGGCTAGAAACATGAAGGATGGGGAGGGCGCACGAGCTTGAGCTAGCGCTCATGTCTCGACCCACGGAGAACGAGCGGCATGACGATGGACTCGTGCTGCTGCAACTCGGAGGCACACATGTAGTGGCGAGTGCCGGGGGAGCGCTCTCAACAAGACGCAAACCTTCCGAAGTTGGTAAGTGCTATAGGGCTTATCGGGATACCGACATCTAGGCAACGCGCGCTGCTTGGTGTTCTATCGCGTGCGGCACAGCAGCAGGCAGAAGATATCTCTGCTTTATGTACCAAAGTTGCTGCTGGGTCGCGACAATACCTACTCTGTACATACGACACACATACGGCTTCAGCACTTACCGAGGGAAGCAATTGTGTGACTCCGTTCCATCTTGCATCGCCCGAAGCACCTACCTGCTGCTCTCCCGACGAAAGCAGCAATGCAGACAAGTGTAGTTGCTGAGGCTGACTCTTATGGCTCCCGAAAGTTGGCCACGTAACGGATTTATTTTTTGTGTTCGTGGCATGTCGTCAACCGCCTAAGGGTGCCATTATAGAACATCACGCACCGGTCGCCCCGGTGGTCTAGTGGGTAGCCTCGCCGCCTGCCAACGGCCAGGTCATGGGTTCGAGTCCCGGCAGAGTGAGTTTTTTATCGCTTGTTAAATCGCGGTCTCCGTTGGAAGCGACGCGCTGCAAAGCTCGTTGTTAGTATACTTGATCGACTTCATAAATCGCGAGGGAAGGAATTGCTGTGCCCTTCTCGATAAAAATATCTCAGGCAGGAATCGCAGGAGGGGGTCTAATCCCCCCCCCTATGTTGTTGTTGTTGTTGTTGTTGTTGTTTCTCACATTAGCTCTAAAAAAGAAAGATTGGGAGCCCGTGGTCTCACAACCCGGCATACACGACCCCACGAAGAAACAGAAAAAATAGGGTCCAAAAACCACTCGGAAGAGAAACAAAATGATAGAAAGAAAGACCAGCTACCGCACCAAACGAGAAAGAGCGTCGAGGAGACCGATCAAAATAAAATAAAAGGAGAACGGGGGACGCTTCCCACACCCACCTACAACGCCGGAGGGTTCCGTGCCGGGTTCCCGCCGACCAGGCATCCCCCGCCCTGCACCACACCCCAGGGGGTGCAGCAAGACGGGGGG